AATTAAATAACATGTATAATATTATCAAGCTATTCTTATGCAAGTTGACATCAATATCAAGTGAAATATTAGCTTGCAAATTTCAAATTGCGCCAATAGATAGAGTGTATACCTGCGTGCGACTGTAAGTTCGATAGTTGAAAAGACGAAGATACGTTACTTGGGAAGACGAAGATACATTATGTATTCTTTTACTAAAACGGACGACATCAGAAGTGAGAAGACGTCGTAAGGTTAGCGTAGTCCTGGTGGTCAACTACTTATGCCGATTCAATAATCATTATTTATTTCTGATTTCTTTAAATAAAATAAAATAGAAGACCACCAGGAAAGGTTGTGTATATTAAGGTGTTCCAAGCTATTTTTGCATTTCCCAAAATAAATAGGGGAAAACAGCCAGTCCAGTGTGGAATGTCTGTATCGCGCGGCGGAGATATCGACCGCGCAATTTTAACACTTTCTATATTTACAATACTATTAAATTTTCAAAATCTCAGGTGCGGAATTTCCAAACGTTCCAGTCAGGAACAGCCTTATATATATAGTTGTTTATGATATAAAGACGTTTTAAATAGCGATGTTGTGATTGCGCAAAACATAGCTAATAGGGAATTGGTCGATAAAGTCTTCTTGATTAGGCTGATATAAAAAGATGTAGCTACTATATAAACTACCACACGATATTTGGAAGAAAGTAGGTGAATAAAAGATTTACAAGCAAATATATATAACATGTAAATTAAGGTATCGGCTTGCTTATAAAACGAACTTTAAAGAAGCCAAATACTTCGTGCTTATAATCATAGGATATGTGAGCGTCTTTTTGTTGGTGCATGTATGTAGCACTACATGAATGATAAGTGAGTTAGCGTGATAGAATGACTTTAAATTCACAGGATTTTTTGCATTTCAAGGAAGTACATGTTTATGGAGTGCATTTTAAGGAGAGCATCAAATGCTTCAGTATACCAATATATCGTCATTATTCTGCTTTCTGCACTCTGCAATATACCTTAATTGCTGCGTGCATGCTGTGTTTATTTGCTGTTCAAACTGTTTATAGTTGGTTTATATACCTTTACATCTTGACCTTTTACTTTAACAGATATAGGCCTATCGCTATTAAATCCGTTGTGACTGCATCTTTCCCTAATATTCCGGAGCTAACTAATATATGAATTATGGAAAATATTAGTAACAATAACTTAACTCAGCGTGCACTGAGCATTTTAGATCTCAGTGCCGTGTTTCACAGGCATTAATATAGAGGAAATTACCAATACGCTATAATGGACACCCGATTTTTGATACTGAGCCATTTACTATAATTGAGACAATATAGCACTCGCGACAGGTTCCATCAACACAGATAATGGTTCTAGTTCTTGTTTCGTATAGCTACAAGTACTATACGTTTAGTTTTAGGCCTTATAAATATAACTGATTGCGTATATAGTCGCGTTTACAGTAGAGACCTTACTTAAGTCACGGGCTTAAGTCTCATGTAGGCTATATCAGCTGTGTCGTGTTATGCAAAAACACCGCGTGTCTCCGGCTTTAGCGTATTTTAATTTGTTGGTACGGAAATCGATAAAACTTGAAACGTTTATAAACACCAAAGTGATCTATTTTGTTTGTGCTTATACGCATACTTTTGGATAAATGTGTGCTGGTTAATTCTGGATCAGTGTATAGCCTCTTTTCCCGTTTTTGTATATTATTGTTCACTGCTTTATACCATTCTGTGCAGATCCGTTGAAACGGTTACCGAATATCGTTTGAATGGTTTCTTAATTTCGTTCGAACGGTCTGTTAAAGCCGTTCGTAGAGCCGTTTAATTTTTTGTCTTTACCCGTTCGTATTTTTTACTCAGAACGTCTAAAACGTTTTTATGATCCGTTGAAACGATTTGACAAAACGTTTACTATCCATTCGTTAACCGTTTTTTTGCCCGTTTTAATGCAAAATCGTTAACGTACGTTTTCCCAAGGAGGGTCACAATTTTAAATATAAACTAGGCATACCTTTCGGCGAACATAACTTCGGCTCCTTGGGACGCATCCTCTTTGTATTACTCCTGTTCGAAAGCGAATTCAAAACACTACTTAAAGTGTTATTTTTGAGCTTGTATCTTGAAAACTTCATCTTTTATTATGGTATTTCCATTCCTGGTCTGATTGTGAACTAATTCCCGAACATCAGCGTGTGACAGGCGCGTGCGACTGTGCGAGTAAAACCCGATATTTTGAAAAATTAAAAATAAATATTTCTACTGGCCGTATTCAAAAGAAATTTTCTACACGAAAGCGCTTGAATACAAGGAGTATTTTACTTCTTTGACTGGTGGCGAATTCCGAAGAGTTCAAGAAATATTCAAGTTTTTCTCGATACGAAATACAGAATGTTTGGCCAAGCGGTGAGTAAAATATACGATTGTTTGCTTTGTGTATTAAATGTTAAAAAATATTACTTTTGACCATCCACAAACATGCAAGCACTAGTCAAAGAGGTCAATCAATCATGCATTAAATAATGATTTAATTTTCAAAAAGACGTTTCTTGTTTAGCTTAAAAATCAGCTTTTGTTTCGAAGTTTACACTTTGTCCCACTTTGTCCCACTTTGCGATGCAAATCGTGCAGAGGCTTCGCGCCTTCCTTCGCCTTTCCCTTTGCCGCCTGCGCTCCTTCGCCCAGCGGCTACGCTCGTGTTTCAAGATCCGCCATGTAAAGTGTAGTGAAATGTATCTCATCGTAATACTAAATCCTAAGAAGACTAAAGAGTAAAGCCTCTGCGGAGGAGAGAGACTAACAGTGGTGGTAGTAGGTATTTGGTTTATCGTCGAAATTGTGGGCATTATCCATGGGTTAATTATCATAGATTAAATTTTTGAACGCAAGTCCCTGACAATGTTAGAGAGCTGCAACGGAATCTCAAGGCCGTAGGCTGGATTCCTGCTATAGAGGGCCTGTATAGTTACATTTCTTCAGCTGCCTCTGGCTCTCAAAGGCCCCGTACAGTTGTATTCCCTCCAACTGTTTCAGATTAGATCTAAAAGTGTATAAAATTTACCATCTACAAAAAGTACGCATTCTCTATTATTTTGTCATACGAGCGAGATGCGCAAAATCTTGACATTAAACCACTATAGACATTTAAACAAGTTTATTCTTACAGCTAAAAGTTGTCAAGATCCAGGAACGCCACGGAGCGGTAGCAAGAAAGGAAATCTACAAGTTGGACAAACGCTCTACTTCTCTTGTGATCACTGCTACCAACTCAGAGGTAGCCCAAATAGAACATGTCAATCTGATCTAAGCTGGTCTGGTCGTCAACCCACATGCACTGGTGAGCTTTATGGTTTTAGTTTTTCACTTTTAATCTTGGGTTTTTGTTTTTCCTTAACTTTCCACTTCAGCGCCGAATGACTTCCATATAATGAGTTAGTTTGCCAATAAATTTGAATAATCACTATATAGGTGCATTATCTTACGCAAAAATATTTTAGTCAGTATATATATACTGTAGTGTATTTATTATGGTATAAGAGGAATATCTCAACATTTGTTTCAAGATTATATTATTTAACAAATAGAAAACAAATTGTAAAATACAATCAGGTGCGATCAAAAGAAACGAGGGTTCCATTGTTTCTTTTGTATATAAACGATATACAGCATTGCAGTAAAGTAGTTTCATTTATATTATTTGCGGATGACACAACGATATATCATAGTAACAAATGTCTTAAAACATTAAATGAAATTATGCAAGTAGAAATTAATAAAGTAGCTGAATGGTTAAATATAAATAAGCTTTCTATAAGTACTTCAAAAACAAATTTTATTCTATTTAGATCTTATAACAAAAAACAGAATTTTGATATAACAATAGAAATAAACGAAGAAAAATTAAAACAGGTAAAAAATACCACATTTCTTGGTATTGTTATTGATGAATGCTTGACATGGAATGAGCACGTGGAATTAATAACAAATAAAGTTACATACATGATTTATTAGATGCTCCTCGAGAAGCTTTTCAGCTCTAATTTACAGAGCTTCTTAATATTACTAACTATATATCGCTATATTTACAAAGGTTTAAGTTTACGAATATGCTATATGATATCTAAAAAATCCAATATGGAACATTGGTTCAAATTTACATTTGCAAAGGATTACTTATTTAAGAAATCCGTGAGAAGATTTTTCTTTATATTAAATTTAAAACTTTGGACTGTCATTCTAGATTTTAGTGAGTCGTCAAGGCTATTCCAAATTGTGGAAGCCCTGTATACAAAAGACTTTTGAGCTTTAGAGGTTCTACAAAGAGGTTTATGTAGTTTACTCTGCCGTGTTACGCGATTACTAATTTCAGAATGAGTAACAAACTTTTGGCATAGGTAATCAGGTGCTAACTTGTTCATACATTTATACGTCATAACGCAATCCCGGAGATACAAGATATTCTCAACAGGAAGCCATTTCAGTTGCTTTAAAGCAGGTGTTATATGGTCTTATTTACGAGATCCTGTCATTATGCATGCAGCAAAATTTTGCACTGTCTTAAGTTTAGAAATGTTCTTCTGACTCGTTGAGGACCAAAAAGTGGAACAATAAAACAGCTTGAAAAAGACGTAAGATTGTATTATCATTTCCAGAGTTGATTGCCTAAATAAGTTCTTGACTCTATTTATTTGATGCAGTTTCTTCATACAAGATGATACCGATTGCTTGATGTGTTCATCAAAAGATAGACTTGGGTCCATAATTAAGCCAAGATCTTTGGCATTTTGGACTGGTTGTACAGTTTTCCTGAGAAACGTAAATGAGGTATCGGCTGGAATGTGTTTCAGCATCTGCTGTGTTCCAAAGAACATAATCTTTGTTTTATCTGGGTTAGCAAGCAGGCAATTGTTACTTAAGTAAGTATAGCAACCGTGAAAAGGTCATTGTTTACTGTCGTTACTACATCTTGTAATTTTCCAATGCAAAATGATTAAAACAGTTTAGAGTCATCTACATAACTTTCCACTTCACTGTTTAGCGGGATACAAGGAAGATCATTGATGAATAAATTGAACAATAAGGGTTTTAATATACTACCTTGTGGAACTCCTTTCGTTATGGGAAGCGGTAAGTCCGATATTTCAGCGCCAATCCGAACAGCTTGCATTCGTCCAGTAAGATAGCTCCGAAACCATTCTAGTGTATTTGACGAGATTTCACAGTTCTGCAACTTGTGAAGGAGACGATCGTGGTCGATACTATCGAATGCTTTACTCAAATCAAGCAAAACAAGAACGGTGACTTTCTTTTCATCGATATAGCATTGAGAATATGGTCAGTTACCAACAAATGAACTGATTCAGTCGAATGTTTACATTTGTTGCCAGTTTGATGACTTGTAAGTCGATTATGTTCTTCAAGATAATTTGAGAGTTGGCTAAAGACTATTCTTTCACAAATTTTAGAATTGGTCACTAATAAAGAGATTGGTCGCTTGTTACTTGCAACTTCACTATCTCCGTCCTTTACACGAGGCACTACTTCAGCGATCTTCCAAGCCGTGGGAAATATATTGGAGGTGAACGATAAATTAATTATTTCTGTTAAAGGCTTGGAAACAGTAAGTAGGCAATCTTTTATAACCTTTGTAGTCACTTTATCCATACTATGCAGGAGATTTATTTGAAAGCATATATTCATTACCACAGCTACAAGTTCCTCTCTAGTTATTTGGCTGAGGGAAAACTGCTCTGATTCCGGGTAGTGTTTTAAAGCTTGATGCTCTATGACAGGTATATGATGCTCTTGTGCCAATTTCTTAACAGATTCAGCGGTTGAAGTGCCCACGGAAGCAAAATATGAATTGAACTAATTTGCAACTTTTTTGGGATTTTCCGATTTTACCAATTCTTTTGGTTTATTTGATGTGTACCTCCGAATAGTTTTCCAAATGGCATGACTATTGTTCTTATTTTGCATAATTTCATTATCGACAAACAATTTTTCCGCTTCGGTAATCATTCTTTTAATTTCAGTCTGTGTCCGCTCTTTGTAAAGGGCCCAGTCAATTTGACACCGCGTTTTCCTTGCTCTCCGTAAAAGAGAGTCTCTCACTTTCATTTGATCTTTTATTTCAGGAGTTATGAAGGAACTTGTACGATGTTTAAATGACATTAATTTAACTGGTGCATGCAGTTCCAATACTGCAAAGAAAGCATTGTTAAATTCTTCCAAACGAGCGTTTATGTCAGTAACATTTTCCAAATTATTCCAAGAAACTTTTGAAATATCATCGCTAAATGTTTTAGGTTCATACATCTTGTAAGATCTAGATCTAATTTGAAATGGTTTTGGTTTGGGTGCCTTGAGGCGAATTGAAGCTGTTACGGTGAAATGGTCGCTAATTGTATTTTCCAAAACTGCCAGAGCTAATAACTTGATGTAAATTTGTTGTTAGAATAACATCAAGTAAAGATGCTGATTCTTTTGCAAGTCGGGTAGGTTTTGTGACAATCTGTGATAGATTTAGCATGGTACAAAGGTCCTTCAAGGCTTGGGATTCAGGTTTATTAGATAACAAGTCATAATTAAGATCTCCCATTATGATTATGTCTTTACCATACAAATGAGCTTCTATAATAGAGGGCGTCAAGTATTCTTCCAAACAAGTTATTTCACAGTCCGGTGGGCGATATACAACACAAAGCAAAAATGATTTTAATTTTATATGTTGAATTCTTACCCACAGTTGTTGGAAACCATTTTCCGATGTAGATGATAAATCTGTGATCTCTTTTGCTTTAAGGTTGTCACGAATATAAGCGCATACTCCACCTCCACGTTTATGACGACGATCGCCTCGAAATAGTTTGTAACCTGATATGTTTACGTCCGCATTATTCACCGTTGAGTTCAGCCAAGTTTCACTCGCTGTAAATATGTCCCAATCATTATCAGCTACTAATTTGCTTACTTGAATAAAGTTCGTTATATTCTTTATTGAGCGGACATTGAGACATTCCTTAGCGATTTGCATGCTGCATTTCTTGCCGTCAAATCTGGTCGTACATAAATTAGATTCGCCGGACATGCTTGTCGTCGGAAATTTGTAGAAATCCTTGTTCTTAGTGTCGGTTTTATTGTCGATATACTGCTTTCCTTAGATGAGTTGTACTTCGGATTGACTGGTTTTGAAATGATTTTACTAACTGGTCCAGGATTAGGATGAACGTCGCCAGAAAGTTGTAATACCTCATTATTGTAAGTGGCCTGGCCATTTGCATAGTAAAGAGTTCGTCTTTTGCTAAATTTCTTTCTTATACTTGGATAAGACTTGGTAAAATTTGTACATCCCCCAAATTCTTTAGTTAGAATACGTGTAGAGAAGGTAAGACAAGATCGTTCTGTTCCCAAATGTTGTAAATATCTATCTAAGTATCTGATTCCTGGCCATAAGCGAGCATATATTTCAACATCAGGTGAATAATTCGCTTGGCTGGTTTCATAGCCATGACCAGGATCAGATATTTTCGCCAATTTCACGCTATTTACAGTCAAATCCTTTATTCCAACCACACAGAGTCGTTCGCCGATTGATTCCCCATATTTTGAGTCGAGAAACTGAGCCAAAAGGCTGATTTTAAAGAAAAAAATAACAAAAAAATGCGAAGGCAGATAAATTGTATGCATTGTAGTTAGTATGTAGTTATAGCATATGGCAAACAGTAATAGCAAAAATAAGACATTTTACAAATATAAATGCTCTTAAGCTTATTTACTATGCTTTAGTCTATCAATATCTTATCTATGGAAATATAATCTGGGTTAATAGTAATACCTACAAAAAAAAGAATCCAAAAACTTATGACTTTCAACTCTTATTTGGCACATAGCGAACCAATTTTTAAAGATTTAAAAATTCTAGTTATTGATAATATTAATGATTATTTAATTTATATATGTTTCGATCGATATCATTATGCCAAAAATTTCCCAGAGGTATTCACTGATTACTTTGTGACCAATGATCAAATCCACCAACACAATACAAGAAATAAAACACAACTCCACAAGTCATACAAAAGAACGAACTATGTAAAACATATTCTTTCAAATAAAGGAGTCGATGTTTGGAATAGACTTGAATGTCATTTTAGAAATATCACTTCTCGTAACACTTTCAAAAATACTATAAAAGAACACTTCATTCAAATATCAAGTAATTAATCAAATAATATGTACAATGTAATTAACACTTTATGCCGAAAATAGCTTTCACATTTTCTCTTTTTCTTTTCTTTTAACTATAATACTTATTGTAATATATTATAAATTTGATTGACTGTATAGTCTGTGGTTAGAACTAGCATCTAAATTTTGTTGTGCTGAGTGGTTATATTACTACCTTAAAAAATAAGCAGAAACTCGACGTTTCGAGCGAAGGCCCTTCGCCAAAAGTTAGTAGCAGGGATCGGGGAAAAATGCATGGGCTTTTATACTAAGAGTATGAAAGCATCACGTGACAAAAAATAAATCAATTAGATGGATTTAATCATAACAAAGTTTAAATAAAATATGTAAATCGCATTACAGAAAATAAAATAATAGAATTAAAAATACAAAAGTCAGGAAGTTAATACAATTACTACAGAAAATAATCAAAACAAAACACGAGTGGGAATAAGGTAAAAGTAAAAGTAATAAATAGATGTTGTCAATGTCTGCTATAGACAGGCAAGGACAGACAAGTCTTCTGGATTGTCTATGATGGCATTAAACATACGAAAAGCGTTCATTAATGCCAGAAGGGTAAATTGGAAAGAATTACCATATCTGAAACACTGTGATTGCCGTTCAATTAAAATGTCTGGCAACAGGTTGGTTAGCATCATTGCCATCTGCTGCAAGAGATGCAGTAGATGAGATGGAAGGAGGCGCACGTGAAATGGTGCTTGATGTGTAATTCAGATTTAGGTGCCGAAACAATAGTGGTGGAATCTATAAAATCACAGGTTTTACATTTCGACGACAGGCAAGAAAATTGCCTTTCTGTGACGTCGAAGCCTGTGCTAGGGAGATATGGACAAGGGTCACAGATATTTTTGCTTTGTCGAAAAGAGACCCTGAAACATCTTCCATTTTGTCCGATAACCCCTTAGTCTCTTTTCGACACAGCATAGATATCCGTGAAGTACCCTTGTCCATAGCTCCCTAGCACAGGCTTCGACGTCACAGATAAGCACTTTTCCTTCCCTGTCGTCGAAATGTAAAACCTGTGATTTTATAGATTCTACCACTATTGTTTCGGCACTTAAATCTGAATTTCACATCAAGCACCATTTCACGTGCGCCTTCTCCCATCTCATCTACTGCATCTCTTGCAGCAGATGTGGCATGCTTTACATTGGGGGAACTGGAAGATGTTTAAGGACAAGGTTTGGTGAGCATCGGCGTACAGTTATTGGCAATGATGCTAACCAACCTGTTGCCAGACATTTTAATAATGGCAATCACAGTGTTTCAGATATTGTAATTCGAGCCCTCTGTCCCATGTCTGGAAGCAACGATAGCCACAAGGTCCGCAAACGACATGAAATGCGCCTCATATCCAAATATGGCACTGTTCATCCTTCTGCCATTAATGAACGCTTTTCTTATGTTTAATGCCATCATAGACAATCCAGAAGACATGTCTTCTGGATTATCTATGATGCCATCTGTCCTTGCCGGTCTATAGCAGACATTGAGACAACATCTAATATTACTTTTACCGGCTTTTACCTTAATCCCACTCGTGTTTTGTTTTGATTATTTTCTGTAGTAATTGTCTTAACTTCCTGTATATTTTTATATTTTTAATTATATTATGTTATATTCTGTAATGCGATTTACATATTTTGTTTACACTTTGTTATGATTAAATCCATCTAATTGGCATATTTTTTGTCACATGTTGCTTTCATACTCTTAGTATAAAAGCCCATGCACTTTTTCCCGATCCCTGCTACTAACCCTTGACGAAAGGCTTTCGCTCGAAACGTCCAGTTTCTGCTTATTTTTTAAGGTAGTAATATAACCACTCAGCACAGCATTTTCACATTGGTACTACCAACACTGGTACAGACAGTTTTAGCATCTAAATTTTATAACTATAGGGGTCTTAAGAGGCGTTGCCTGTAAAGTTCAAGCAAAGTTGGAAATCGGCCCAAAATCCGCAATTTTGAAACTTTGTCAGAATAAAGTCTATCGCATGCCTGATTGAACGACCTACCTTATTTTCTTGGAAAATTGAAATTCTTAATTTGAGGCACCTTTACTTTAATACCCCTTTTTTGCCTGTCAGTACCGGAAAAAAGCCAAAATTGAAAAATTGCTCAAAAATCACCAAAAACATCAACGTAAATGATATTGGTCTAGATTGTTAACACTCATAACTGCTTACAGGAATAATGTATTTGGGAGAAGTTGGCGATATATTCTTGAAAGAAATTGCGTTGAAATGTGACTCATTTTCTTTCATATTTGCAAGATCCGCAAGTATGCTTCATTTCACGGTTTATTTCTCGAGTAGTAAAATGATTTTGTGCTATTTGTTTAGGTTCCTTAAAAGTACTAAGATTAGTGTAGATTTTAGCATAAAAATCTCCGCGGGCAACAATTTTTACTTTTGGAAGAAAACGCCTGAAGAATCCCTAAAATGCGCCTTTTTCTTGAGAGCTATCTCAACTACTTGCGTGAGAGATCTGGTGACGAGTCTTAAAATTTCAAACAAATCAGTGATAACAAAAAAAGTTAATAATACATAATTGTCTTCTTAATTTTAGAAGTGATATGTTTTTGAAAAAATCATGTCAATCATAACGCTCAGCTTTAACTAAAACAATATCACACATATACCTGCCCTGCATGACTCAGTCCGTGTTTTAGCAAACACGTACTGCGTACTTCCCGTTGGAGGAAAGCAAGTTTTTGAGTTCGTTTTTCTTGACAAATTTTAAAGATGACTTTATTTGCACTTTAAAGCTTCCAATTTCAGTTATTAGTGCCTCGAGGAATTTATACACCCACCTTTAGTTAGTAATTTTTCTCAGCGAGTTTTTTTGCTAGAAACCGTGCTCTATTAAATTTTGATTTGAAGCAACGTAGTTATTTTCTTTCTTGCAATTGTTCGTGGGAAGGTCAACCGGACCGATGAAATTGTAGTGTTCACAGATCATATCGCGCCCTGCGGAGAAAATATAACATGCGAGAAATATAGCTTGCAATGAAGCAATTAGGGCACTGTTTCATCATGGTTATTTTTCTTATAATTGAATGTCTAAGAATTAGTATTTGTCGAGAAATCATATCTATGTTTTAACCTGCGGAGGTGGTAACATCCCTATCGAAGTATTACTGTACAATAACTAAGTCATATGTAAAAGTATTAATTCGATTTGTGTCATTTAAATTATCCTGGCCTGAATTTCGCACAATTCAATTTTCGCTCAGGGAAAACCCACCGGGAAATCATTCATAAAAATAGATCGCACAACAAGTACACAATCTTGCATTGCAACGCTTGTTTTTAAACATTTTTGCTAAATTAAACCGGCAAAAACTTTCCAAATGGACAAGTGTGGAATAGGGACGTTGACCGGGACTGAGTGCGGTTCGATTTCCTTAAAAGGCTGTGAAGTAAGCGAGTTTCAATCGCTAAATGCGTGCCAACGCGATGTAACTGGCCATTTAAAAATGTTGAACTTCCGTAGAGAGGAAATATCTTCAGAGAAAGAGTTGATATTGCTGAGGGCAGGTGAGTTAGTAAAGTTTCTTTATATATAACACTCTGATTTCTTTTATTAAATCATGTGCAATTTATTTAGGCATATTTGAGGGATTCGCTGCCGCGAATTTTATGGTATGTCCAAAACATCGACAATCCTTTGGTATTGAATGGCGAGGGCGGAAGAAGAATTGTCAAGTTCCAGCGTCTGTTGCATCCCACCGCTTTAAAAAGCATACCGGTGACCGATCAGTAAATAAGGAAATGTCGGAGAAAATATTCCACCTAACTGGATTGGTAATACCTATCGGTCAGGTATACGTATATCTTTTCGTTTTCTTTGACTTGGTGAAAACATGTCAATCATGAACATCGTAAACATGTCAATCAAGTCCAAAGAATAGTATTCGCTTCCACAAGACATGTCGCGCCATAACCCACAACAATACTAGTTCATGCATAATTAGCAATTATTGAGGTTAAGCATGATCCGAAGAATTATCAAGGACGAAATTTGACTTATACTGTTAAACTTTATATCACCTACAATGTTGTTTCCACTTTTCATATATTTACACGTTGCTCTTCTAGGAATCTGTCGACAATGCCGCGAAAAGTTGAGCACAAACGGCACAATCGTGCAAGGTGAACAGCGAGAAGAGGTAAACACTAAATGCGTGTAGCCACCAAGCGGCGTTTTTAGCAAGGCTTAATCCAGGGCTGAGATACTGGCTATATGGCAGTTTTCCATATAGAGATTATAAAACAATAGAGTGGGTATTGTGGCAATAATCGAGGAACAATTCCTGATGGCCGCAATTTACAGTTGTATACGTGCGAATATGCAGACATCGCTAAAGATTTATTTTTTTAATTCATTATAGGAATCAGATGGAGAACCTCCAGCCACAGAGTTCACTGACGAGGGCAAGATAAACGACGAGACTATTGCAACGCTCGTTGAAGATCTGGAGAAGCTAGCCATTAACCCTGAATGTTCACTATACCAGCCTATCTCGTCCCAGGAAGATACTTCAGATGACACCAGCAGTCAGGCAACGTGTGGAAGTGGTTCAGTCTCATCCACCAGATAAACCAGCTGATGACGGTAAAAAACAGCATTGGAGCGATTCATGGATCTGAGTGGTATTGGGCCTCTGGGATCCATTATGGAGCGTGCTTGGAAATGTGCCACTACAAAAACACAAGATCACTACACTTGCAAAGCAAACGAAATAATCGCAAGCGTCATTAAGACGGTAGCTCCAGATTCCGCTCCGCAATTGTGGGAAGCAGTGAGGACAAAGGGCAAAGTAAGCCAGTTCCTTCAAATGCCAAGACCTGACAATGGCCTGGTGCAAGCAATAGTAGAATCGTATAAGCTAGCGGAAAAGGCAGAGACAAGGCGACAACTTCTCAGCATTTGTGCCATTAAAGTAACGTATTCAGAGCTTACTGCACACATTCCTAAGCTAACAAGATACGAGTTCACTGCGGCAAGACGGTACGCACTTGAAGTTGGAGCAGGACTCCCTGTTTTAGCACCTTCCGTGAAACAAACAAGAGAAAGGGTGGATCCTACAAAGCTAGAACACTTCCTTGACTTCATAACGTCCTCCAATATAGTCCAAGATCTTCCCTTTGGTAGGAGAACTCTTACGTTAAGCAGTGGTGAGAAGATCGATATCCCTAATGTCATACGAACGATGCTGCCTTCCCATCTCATCAGACAATACAACCAGTACTGCAGCGAAGAAGACTTCATTCCACTTTCTACCCGCACCCTCTTTCGTATCTTGTCTGAGGCTTGCGTGGCCTCAGTGAGAAAGAGTTTACAGGGCTTAGATAGCTATGCAGCGGAGGGCAGGCGTGGTTTTGATGACCTGATTTTCCTCCTGGATACATTGATGCAGTATGGTGCTAACGATCCTGAAATACACAAGCTAAATTAGGGACAGCCTTAAACATCTCAAACAGTACATCAAAAGTGATTACAAGGTATGTTTGCGAGTATTTCATACCGCCTCTTGATAGAACGTAACCACATGCCTCCTTTCTCCGCAGATCCATTGTTCCATGGTTAGTTCTGTATCTGACCACTGCAGAGTGTTTGCACTTAGTGATCCGAAGAAGAATTGCTTCCATCGACGATGTGACCACCACCACAATCAACAGTGTGAGAGTTGTGAAATATTGAAAACGGTAAGTTAATAAAATACTATTGGAAATCAATAGAATATAATTCGGTTAATTACATATTGTGTCTATACAATGTGCAATGGTGGTATAGCATGCTGATGCTGCTAAGGAGAAAATTGTCCTTGAATATGACACATCACCGAAGCTCTCAGATGTTACAGAAAATGTAACTTTATTGAAAAAAAATTCTCGTGTTCCTTAGTCTTTAGATTTAGTTAAATCCTTCATCCAGTCTACTAACCTATCCGAAGACGTGCAGGATGATGCTCTATTTACAGCGAGAACCGCATGTAATGCTGTCCTGTCCTGGAAATCCCACCAGCTCCGCATGGTCCACCAGGACGTAGCCAGGTCGGATGCTATCGACAGTCTTAGTGAAGATTCTACGCTAATCACGCAAGACTTTGCCATGAAGTTCTTACCAGCCCAGTACAGAGAGACACAGGCCGAATTCTTCGGGAAAAGAGGGATTTCGTGGCACCTTACAGTTTGCCAAAGCAACAAAGGCGGAAAGATTGTCGCGCAAACGTTCGTTCACATAATTGAATCTGGTGTGCAGGATAGTAATACAGTAGTGAGCGTGATGGAACATGTCCTGCAAACCCTGAAGTGTGAAAATCCAACCTTGAATAGAGTGGTATACCGCCAAGACAACGCAGGGTGTTATCACTCCGCAACAACAATACTGGCCTGCAAAATACTAAGAGAGAGAAGTTCACTGGATCTTCGTCGGATTGACTTCTGTGACCCGCAGGGGGGGAAAGGTCCATGTGACAGGAAGGCAGCGCAAATCAAGACCCATGTTAAGCAATACATCAATCAGGGCAATTCCGTCACAACGCCTGCTGAACTTAAAAAAGCTATTGAATCCAACGGAGGGATTAAAGGGGTACGTGTCACGATGGTACCTGTTCCCAAGATTGCTGGACGCAAGAAAATCAAGTGGGACGGTATAAGCAGTTTGTCCAACTTCGAGATAACATCTGCGGGTGTGAGGTCCTTCAAGGCTTATGGTATCGGCGCTGGGCATTTTCAGTCCTGGACATCATTTAAAGGTATGGACTAATTGGTTGGTAGATGAAAACTATTATTCGGTCTTAGGCAAACATTGATTATTTACTGGCAAAACATGCTCAAGAAATGGCTCGCAATTAACAGTTATGTTTATATGATTCATATGAACTTTATTGGAAAGCCTTGTCGTCACATTAAAAAACATGTAGCAAAGCCCAAAAAGGGCAATAAATCTTTCTTCTTCAAAAAGATAACAACATTTTAAACTACTTATTTGTTTATCTTAATGTCCTATCCCACAACAACATTTTTTGCAGGTGTAAAGAATGTACACCTATTTGGAAAAAGGCTGCGCTCACGGGGACTACGGAGTGCAAATACTTTCATTTAGGTGTGTGCTTTGTTGAAATGTGTTCATAAATTTATTTAGAAATCCCACGTGATAGTGAGTTCGAATGGATCGTGGTTGAACCAGGTACAGGCGACTTTGTGGTAATAAAGCCCAGACAAGCAAAGGGAGTATCTTCTCATCCGGACAGTTCAACAAACGAACAGCAACCAGCCATTGATGAACGGCAAGTCGGTACCGATCCAGCTGATAGCTATTTGTTTTCCTGCACAGAAGACGGCTGCATAAAATCCTATATGACTCATGGCCGTCTGCAGCAACACCTGATGTACGGGAGACACAATTTTCGACAAAACCAGAATGTTCCTTTATTGGACAGGGCAAAGATTAGCTACGCAGACCGTCTGGAAGAGGAGAGAGGGGGACAATCATTAATTACAATGGCAGGCTCGACAGAAGTGGGTACAACGTCTGTTTCAGAAGGATGGGCTGGTCGGGACCGCAAAAGTACAGGCCGCCGGTTCAGCGCAAAACAGAGAACATTCCTGGAGAACAAATTTAACGATGGTGTAAAAACGGGCGTGAAGGCTAACCCAGATAACGTGTCAAAGGAAATGCGACAACTGAAAGATCAGAATGGGAAACGAGTCTTTACCGTTGTAGAGTTTCTTCGTCCCCAGCAGATATCGTCGTTTTTCTCTAGAATGGCATCAAAGAGAAAAGGTTTCACAGAATTGGATGACGAAGCTGAAGAATTCACGAGGCACCAAGCTGCGGTGAAGTCGAACGTGCTAGAAACTTTAAAGCAGGACGTAGCTCATCCTGTGTTGTTTTCAGGCAAAAGCCTGTGCCAAATGACGCGAGAAGAAATCGGCAACCTGAAAATCACCCAACTGCGTTCCATGACCAGTCATTTTGGCATCAGCGTTAAAGGGCGAGTGAAGGCGGTATATTCTGATACCATGATTGCATACCTAAATAGGTGTTCTTGTAAGCACATCCATAACTAACACCAACTACTACTACGTGCCTGCATTGTACTTCTTTATGGTATGTTATATTTTTATAACATTGTACATGTGTTGATCTAAAATATATTAACATTACCGCAATAATAGTCATAACAACAATGACATGTTAAAAAAGAGATTTTTTGACCTATCATTACATTTGTTTGAATCAAATTTTAAGACTCATCACCAGTCTTCTCGCGCAAGTAGCTGGAATAGCGCTCAAGAAAAAGTTGCATTTTAGGGATTTCACAGGCGTTTTTTTGCAAATGTAAAAAATGTTGCCCGCAGAGGTTTATATGCTAAAAACTACATCACCCTTGGTACTTTTAAAGAACATAAACAAATACCACAAAATCATTTTACTACTCGAGAAATAAGCCGTGAAATGAAGCATACTCGCGGATCTTGCAAATATGAGAGAAAATGAGTCACATTTCAACGCAATTCATTTCAAAAATATATCGCCAATCTCTTCCAAATACATTATTCCTGCAAGCAGTTATGAGTGTTAATAATCTAGACCAATATCATTTACGTTGATGTTTTTGGTGATTTTTCAGCAATTTTTCAATTTTAGCTTTTTTCCGGTTCTGACAGGCAAAAAAGGTGTATTAAAGTAAAGGTGCCCCAAATTAAAAATTTCAATTTTCCAAGAAAATAAGGTAGGTCGTTCGATCAGGCATGTGATAGACTTTATTCTGACAAAGTTTCAAAATTGCGGATTTTGGGCCGATTTCCAACTTTGCTTGAACTTTACAGGCAACGCCTCTTAAATAAAAGCCTGTTAAGGTTTCTGGTAGGCCCCTATACCATAACATTAATCTATTTTTTATGTAAATATTTATATGTTGTATATATGGGCAATAATATATATATATATATATATATATATATATATATATATATATATATATATATATATATATATATATATATATATATATATATATATATATATATACCGTTTTACAATATTTAGCCGCTCGATGCAAAGTTTTACGTCACCCTATAAATGGAAGAATAACTGAATATTCAAGGTACTGCGGAAGAAAACAAACAGAATTTATATGTTTTCCTGGCTATCAGTTAAGAGGGTCAAGAACAATAACTTGTCAGAGTGACGGAAGCTGGTCTGCAGCGAGTCCAACCTGTCATGTCGGTAAGTTTATCCTTAATCATTTCTTTCAGTTTTAGTTCAGCCGTTTATTTCAACATTACCAAAGATTCGTGTATATATAATGGAGTGATGGCAGTAGTAGTTATATGGAAAAATGTCGAGATTTTGGGCGTCTTCCGATAAAACTAATAGTACGCGGGTTCTCGTAAAGGAAAAATCAATTTTCGAACACAAATTTCCATACACTTTTGGAGCTCTGCAACGAAGTCGCAAAGATGCAGGTTCGATTCCCATCATAGTTGTTGCATTTTTCCCAACTGTTCCTGCTTAGGTCTAAAGTTCTATGAAATTTACGTTCGAAAATTCCATCTACAAAAACCCATACTTGATTTGTTCTACGAGCGAGCTCGAGATGCCCAAAATCTTGACATTAAGCACTAGACATTTAAAGCTGTTTATTTTTACAGTTAAAAGTTGTCAAGATCCAGGCACGCCATGCGGAGGAAGCAAGAAAGGAAATCTGCGAGTTGGAGAAACGCTCCGCTTCTCATGTGATCAGTGCTACCAACTCAGAGGTAGCCCAAATAGAACATGTCAATCTGATCTAAGCTGGTCTGGTCGTCAGCCCACATGCACTGGTGAGCTTCCTGGTTTCAGTTTTGCATTTTTAATCTTATTTTTTTGGTTTTCACCAACTTTCAGCGCCGAAAGACTTCTCTACATATAATGATTTAATTTGCGAATTAATTTGAATAATCACTGTATATGTAGGTGCAATATTTTACGCAAACATTTTTACAATATTTAGCCGCTCGATGCAAAGTTTTACGTCACCCTACAAATGGAAGAATAACTGAATATTCAAGGTACTGCGGAAGAAAACAAACAGAATTTATATGTTTTTCTGGCTATCGGTTAAGAGGTTCAAGAACAATAACTTGTCAGAGTGACGGAAGCTGGTCTGCAGCGAGTCCAACCTGTCATGTCGGTAAGTTATAGTCCTTAATCATTTCTTTCAGTTCTAGTTCTGTTTATTTCAACATGACCAAAGACTCGTGTATATATAATGGAGTGATGGCAGTAGGAATTATATGGAAAAATGTCGAGATTTTCGAACGCAAATTTCCATACACTTTTGGAGCGCTGCAATTAACGAAATCGCAGGGATGCAGGTTTGATTCCCTTCATAGTTGTTGCATTTTCCCCGACTGTTCCTGGTTAGGTCTAAAAGTGTATGGAATTTACGTCGCGAAACCCATACTCGATTTGTTCTGCGAGCGAGATGCCCACAATCTTGACATTAATCACTAGACATTTAAAGCAGTTTATTTTTACAGTTAAAAGTTGTCAAGATCCAGGCACGCCTCTGGGAGGAAGCAAGAAAGGAAATCTACAAGTTGAACAAACGCTCTTCTTCTCATGTAATCAGTGCTACCAACTCAGAGGTAGCCAAAATAGAACATGTCAATCTGATCTAAGCTGGTCAGGTCGTCAACCCACATGCACTGGTAAGTTTCATGGTTTCAACTGTTTCAGTTTTGCATTTTTAATCTTTATTTTTTGGTTTTCACCAACTTTCCACTTCTACGCAGAATGGCTTCCATACACAACGAGTTAATTGGGGAATTAATTTGGATAGTCACTGTATAGTTGCAATATCTTACGCAAAAAATTTTCAGTCAAAATGTTTTGCAGTATAAAGTTTTTTTTTACAATATTTAGCCGTTCGATGCAAAGTTTTACGTCACTTTGCAAATGGAAGAATAACTGGACATTCAAGGTACTGCGGAAGCAAAGAAACAAAATTTATATGTTATCCTGGTTATCAGTTAAGAGGTTCGAGAACAATAACTTGTCAGAGTGACGGAAGCTGGTCTGCAGTGAGTCCTACCTGTGTCGGTAAGTTTTAATCCTTAAAGGTGATCTACAGTCCGTATGTAAACAAAGCCCTTGTTTACATTTTTGTGTCCAAAATATTGAGCTTTATTCGACAACTATTTATATTTTTAAGCTTCTAGAGTATAATAAATGATCAAGAAACAACAATCAGGCTTTTCAAGAACTCAAAACATAGTTAAACTGTTTGTATCATAAAAAGTGGGCTCATTTGTGCACATGCGCAGATCAGACTGTAGATCACTTTTAATAATTTCTTTCAGTTCTAGTTCTGTCTATTTCAACATTACCAAAGATTCATGTATAATATATAAAAGTGTATGAAACTTACGTTGGAAAATTCCATCTACAATTAAATCGTGCGAAACGATCACCCTCCCGTGCCTTTTTCTTTGGGAATGACACCCTCTTCAAATTCTATCGAAATAGGGTTAATAGGAAAAGGAAAACTTGCAAGGCTAATTATTATAAGACAAAAGTAGATAATTTAAAACAATCTAACCCGAAACACTGGTGGCGCGAAGTAAAACGCATTAGTGGAATGGTTTCACATTCAAGCCTACAGGATTGTATCCAATCAGAAAACTTACAACACCTGCCCTTGGCCGATTTGGCTAATGCTGTTAACAACGCCTTTCTAGAACCCATGCAGGAATCTGATCCTTTCAACCCTAATGATGACCAAATCAATAGTATGTCTGATCAACCTCTTGACATCACTACATCGTGGGTGGGAAACATATAATAAACTTAAATTACTAAGTACCTCTAAAGCACCAGGTCCTGATGAAGTTCCGAATTTTGTCTACAAGGAATATCCCGAGATTTTGGCATGCCCAATCTCTAGCTTGATCAACTGTTCACTCCGCCATCAATTATTACCACGCTTATGGAAGTTGGCGAACATTATCACAATTCCAAAGGAATAGTTTGTATACGATATTAATAAACACTTAAGACCCATATCTCTTACTTGTTGTCTCTTAAAACTGGCTGAAGAATTTGTCATTGAAAAGTTTGTCGCCCCTGCCATCCTGAAATGCATCGACTCTCACTAGTTCGGAGGAATACCAAGGTCATCTTCATCCATTGCCCTTATTAGTATGTTGCACAACTGAGCTAAAGCAACCGATGGTATTGGAAATTCCGTGCGAGTCCTTCTGGTCGATTACAGGAAGGCTTTTGATCTTATTGATCACTCAATCTTGATGAACAAAATTCGCCAACTGTCCATCCCAATCTATATCATAAATTGGCTTATTAGCTTTTTGTGTGGTCGGAAACAGCGCGTGAAACTTGCAAGGGATTGTGTTTCTGAGTGGGGTAATGTCCCTAGTGGCGTCCCACAGGGCACAAAGTTGGGACCTTGGTTGTTTATTCTCTGCATGATAAACGATTTGAAGCTTATGGACATCACCCACCGGAAATAAATCGATGATACAACAGTCTCGGAAACTATCCCAAGAAACGGAACCAGCCAAATCCAATCTGGAGCTAACGAACTTGAAATGTGGAACTCGCAGAACAAATTCCAATTGAATGTCCAAAAATGCAAAGAGCTTTTATTTCAATTCCTTTGATAATATCTATCTTCTTGCGGGGTGTCCAAACCTGGTTCGCCAAGCTAAAATTCTAGGTGTTACGGTTAGTGATGATTTAAGATGGTCTACGCATGTCCTAAACATAACAAAGAAAGCCAACAAGAGAATCGTCTTCATAGTCCAATTAAAACGAGCTAAAATACCAGCCAAAGAAATTCTAAACTTTTATTGTTGCTGTGTCAGACCGGTTCTGGAATACGTTTGTGAGGTATTTCACTTTGCTCTGCCTAAGTATCTCAGTGATAACATAGAACGAGTCCATAGAAGAGTTACATCCATAATCTTTCCCGGTTTGTCTTACGGCGAGCGTTTGGACAAAGCTAACTTGACACTCTTAAGCGATCGTCGAAGGCATGCCTGCTCCAAACTATACAATCACATAA